ATGTGTCTCACAAAAATTTTTTTAGAACATAAAAAAATTATTAAATTATTATTTTAACAAAAATTAATCAAGACACAGAGATAGGAGAACAATTTTTAAACAAATCTCATGATTATTTTTTTGGAGTGTGTGAAAATCTTTATTTGTTTGTGTTGTAAAATCGCGACAAAATATCTTCATAAATGATTGTTACAACCAAGTGGGTACTGATTTGTTCCGCCTCTTTCTGACTGTCTAACAATCTCATGGGTTGTTCTTAATTGTTTAATTGGTTGCATACACTGCAGGACATAAAATAGGAAACCGATAATTTTTAGCAAAAATTTAGTGGAGTAAGATCAGAGGAGTATGATAAAAATTCTGGACTAAGTCCGAAGCGTATAACTTGATTGTTGTAAAAAATAAATAACAAAGATATACACTTTCACTTAACAGAAGATCTTTGAATTGCAGTAGGTACTTTTATTGCATTGGAGTGCAAACAAAATTACATTACGTGAATTGATTTAGATATCCAACAATGAACGAGTTGGAAAGTTTTAATTCCAAACACACAAATTACTCTATGAATTAACGTAACGTCACGTGTTCAGTTAAAAAAACTGTTTCGTTTATAATCGATGATCAAAAACACAAAGCAACAACGAAACAATTTTATTTTAAAATGAAATTGACAGTAGCGAAGTTTTAAATGTCATAATTATTCTGACAAATGACATTATTTACAACTCTAAAAGGACGGCCGTATATAACAGGTCTGCGAACTCCGAGTTTAAAATGGTCTTTTTTCGAAAAGATCCCAGAAGGCCACGGGAGCTTAAAGATCCTAGCGCCGTCTACTGGATACTATGATGAAACTGTCCACAATAATGAATGAAATTTGCGTAAAAATGTCCTTGAATGCAAGTTGTCACAAATGTCAGCTTTATAGGTTAGGTTTTGTGACGTCTTTTTGAAAGGTGGGGGGAAATATACGTCAAATGTCATGTCAAACGTCAGTCGATAGTGCAAATAGTACAATTAACTACCACATGGTGGCGGTCATCTTAAGTTCCCACTAGAGACCCTTATTTAGGGTCTCTAGTTCCCACTAAAGTCACTAGATAGATTCTAGTGACTTTAGTTCCCACAACCTACTACGATACCTGTTTTTAAGCGCCCGTTTTATGAAAATTTATGAATGGAGTTGAAACACCTTACTTATATCACCGTGTCTAAAAGTATCCATTATGTCAAAGAGAGGCAAATCTGTAACGTTTTTAAATTTCACAGCTCACTAAATGACCAACATTTTTTTGAGAGACTTGTATAAATTATTTTTTCTAGTCACTATATAGAAAATGTTATTTTCTTCCCTCATTTAAGGGCACAAAGTGTCACTTTACGTCCCGGCTAAAGTACATTTTTCTCAAAAATGACGTTTATAAATTTATAAACTTGCTACTTCTAAAACGTCTGGACGGGTACAATTATTATCTGAAGCACTACTTTCATCCAAATCCTCCATTTTTTCCAAAATTAATGCGTTTTAAGGAACACAAAACTACAATTCACGAGACGCTTTGTTCAAATGCGATTAATTTTTTATTTGTTTGAAAATTGTCATAGAAACTATCTAGATTATTGCGGTAATAGTTTTTTCATTTAAACTTTTATAAAATTCATTTTAAACGTTCGTTCGAAGAAAAAATGATATATATATATATATGTATTCACCGGCACTAACAAGCCCAAAAATCTATATTCCACTAATAATATGAAGCCCGACACCTACTTACCAAGCCCGAATTCGGGCTTGGTAAAATCCACGTGTATATCGCCGTATTTCGAGGCCTCAAATCTCAGCGACCTCTATGATAAATTTTAGGGGGGGCTTCGTAAAGTCGTAACATATCGCAATATATACACATTTAGTTCCACAGATTTTATGTAGAGTGCGCCTTGATCGTTTGTATATATTGTATAGATGTTTTGGGCATTTTAACAAGCCCACACTAGAAACTACACGTTATGCAGATTATTTGAAGCCCGACGCTTTGGCAACAGTGTATAGCCATATTATTTATCCCCACCATAAACTTGAATAATATAACATTTGTTTATTACATTTTAAATGTTTAAATCTGACTAGTGAACAAGTGAAGATTCGTATTCAGTAATTGAATATTCAATTTTAACAAATTTTATTAACAAATTTGGTTAATAATAATCACCAATTTTTTTGTTTTTGTTACTTAACAACATATAAATATATCTTTCGTGTATTCAGTGGAAAAGTGCGCCTTTGTTTTATAGAAAACAATAAAGAAAAGTTTCACTTTTTTTGTTAGCAACACTTTCCCACTTAGCAACACTCTTCCAGTTAGCAGCCAAACGTCAGAAATGACACGTTAAAAACTATTTTCAAAATTCTATTTTAAACCGGAGTACACAAAAGAATATCAGGTTGAACGTGTAAAAAAAATGGTTTTCCATGTTTCTTTAAAAATTAATTCACTCGCTGAAATCTTTTACACTGGCTGGAAAACGAGCACTCCTTTTATCTGTAGAACAATTTACTATTATATATTTTTTATATTTGCCACTTTGTTATTATCAAACGTGATGTTAAATCTTTAATAGTTATTTATGTATCAATGGTATTATGCTTTTAAGTCGTCCGAGAGTATAAACATAAAGCAATGCCAGTGATGCATACAAACTTTTATATCTTACTAGTGTTATTAAATAGGTCTTACAAAATTATTTCTCGAATTCATGTATCTCGACAGGTCTAATATGATTGGGAAGAAATAGTAAAATTATGAATGTATTTCCTAGGAGATATGTCATATTTCCATAAACATTGCTTTGTTCTTTTAAATGGAGCCCGAGCGACTAACTAATTCCACAGAAATCCAAAAGTTTCTACAAGAAAGAATATGAAAAATTTAGAGACTGGTTAATAACAGCATACAAGTAAGCAATGAAACCGTCGTGCTTGCCTATTTTGAAGAACTGGTATGATTACTGTCAACATTTTCATTGATATTTTCTGGTTTAATGAATACGTTTCGTAGTCACAAACAATAATTAGTCCCAACTCATTGTGGAGTAATAAGTTTTCAATGCTAAAGAAAACTTTGCTGATGAACGAAAATGTGAATATTCATACATTTTCTAAATTGGGAGAATATTTAAAACAAGGTTCTAAAGGATATGAGCCAAAAAAGTCGAAAATTGTAACGAAAGAAGAAGTAATGAAATGTCTTCATGAAGCTCCGAATAAAACGTTCCGTATGGTTAAGGCTGCTCTTTTTTTTGGCATTTTCGGAGGATGTAGAAGACAAGAATTAATAAATATGCTGGTAGATCATGCATAGATCAAAGGTAATGTTGTCACTGTAACGATTTCTCAAACCAAAACTGATAAGAAGCGAGTTTTTATTATTATCGAGGAGGAAGAGATGAAAAGTTTGAAACTGTATCGGGAATACGTGTTATTACGACCGAGGAATTGTACTTTAAGAAGATTCTGTGGACAAAAACATATTTGGAAAGGTTCCTTCGATCATTGCAACAAACCTAGGTTTGAAAGAAGCCAGCAAGTGCACAGGACATAGCATACGAAGAGGCAGTACAACTATGTTGGCGGACGCTGGAGCTAGCATGGCTTTACTGAAGCGGTGTGGGGTATGGAAAAATACAAATGTGGCTGAGGAATATTTGGAAGACAGCATTTCTTCCAAAAATAAAATTTCAAAAATGTTAGCTAGTAGACCATCTATCAATTAGTCATAGGAGTTATCAATTTCAGTGGATGAAGCGCTGAAAAGGCCCTAAGCCTCAGCAGCGCACCCCTGTAAACCTTTGTAAACAACACAACTTGAATAAATGTATTAACTCGTAACTCGTGGATGAAGATCGCAAAAACATGATTGCGAATAATGTCGGATCATCAAGTGTAACTGTCCTAAACAGTACTTTTACTGGTTCCTTTACTAATTGTCATTTTACTTTAACTAAATAAACGTTATCTATATGTTGTCTTGTATTGTGCTTATTTGACCACAGCAACACTTTATGCCCCTGTATCCAAGTAAGAGCAGATAATATGCTAGTAAGATATAAAATAAATTTTATTAAAACTTTTTTCATTGCATCTAATTTTAAAAGGAAACAAGAATGAAAACTTTATACTTATCCCAAATCGTTTTGAATCTTGTTTTCCTTAAATTTTGTATTACCACTGAGAGTAAATAAAACGAATAAAACCCATGTAAAAGTAGTTTTGGTTTCATTCCCGTAAAGCTAGGTTCAGTTAATTATAAACCGTTGATTGACATGTGAAAACGTATTTGAATTTATCTAACAATTATTTAATTTAAATTTATGCGATTTGTTTTATAGTGTCACATAAATTAAGAATTAGGCAAATGAATTTTCTGTGGATAATTTACAAGAGTACGAGCAAGGAGTTTACAATGCAGAAAATTTGAGGATGTAGTCAACTATATTACCTAAATATTTGGAGGACTACGCAAAGATTTGAGATTTGATGCAAACAAACATTCGAGAGGTGAGAGATACCGCTTACAACCTAGTCTTCTTGTAGTATTTTTAAAGTTACCGTACATTTCCATGAAAACTAACCTCTACGTTGTTAAAATACTGTGCAACTAGTAAAAGTACTGTGACGTGACATTTTTTTTCAAATGGAAAATTTCTTGTTGATCATCACGGGCCAGTTGAAGGCTTCCAAAAGAGTCCCGGTATTAAAGAAATAAAACAATACACGTTCTGAGGTATAAAAAAATTTATTAAAATGTTTGGACAAAAAAGTAGCACAAAATATAAAAAGTTTGCGTCATTGAAAAAAGCGAATAATTTTTTTAGGCCATTCTAAATGTGTTATAGACAAGAGTCTTTACTCTAACCCAATCTTTGCTACCTAAAATATCTTTATGAGAAACAATTAACTCCTCACATTCGTGTTTCTTAGGAGTTACTTTATTTTTTATGTGTTTTTTAAAGTGATTCAGAACTAATTTCTTCTGAGCTTCTGTCCACGGAAGGCGTCCTGATTTTTTATTCGCTACAACAGAATTTTTTTATTTATATAATGTAGTAGATAAAGTCATTACCTTCGCTTTTTGTTTTTTTGTTGTTGATATCTAATTCTTTATTCAAATCTGAATTTCGTTTCGTTACGCTTTTTTTTCTCTTTATATTTTCAATAGCATTTTGAGTATTGAAAATGTTATTTTCATCTTCTTGCATTGACGTAGATGCGGTAGCACGTTTTAAAGCCGTTTCTGACAATGGAGTTGCTTCATCTTCTTCATCTTCAATTTCCGATTCAGAACTGTAATATACGTCTTTTTGTAATTCAATTTCATTCAAACTTTTCCCCTTGAATTCTTTTCCTCTTCCTTTTTCCATTAGTAATAAAATCTTTGCAACTTTTGCTGTTTGAAATAAGTCTTGCGGTAATCTAAACAAATAAATTACTGAAAGTAACAATTAGAACTTTTTAAAGAAACATACCTATAAAATTCAGCGTGAGTTTTTTTTGTGTGGCCCATAAATGTTGCAATTTGTTCCATTTCACAATCTTCCATGCTCATCAATTGTAAAGTTGTTGCTATGTGTTTCCTGAACTTTGTGGATGTTAAGAGTGTTGGCTTGGTTGCACCACAGTTTAGTGCCAATTTTCTTATTACATTTGTTCCACTCATCCATCGATTTTCTGATCCTGGGTTAGCAAAAAGGTAATGATTGGATTTTGGTACTACATCAGTGTTATTTCTCACTTCCAATAAACACTGTATAAATTTCTGAATTTTATTAGAGAATAAAATTGCAATTGGTTTAGATCCTTTCCCGCCTGTTACAACTCTCTTAAATTTTTTGCTTATTATTTTTTCTGTTGTACTAAGAGATTCTAAAAAAGCTTCTTGGTGATCAGAATTGTCATTAGAATTCCTCTTATAAGTATCTATTTTCAAATATTGAACGTCTCCAATTCGTTTTCGATTAAACATTACTGTTAAAGCCAACACACATTCAGTTAACGTTTTGTAATGACTAGGAATGTCGGAAACTGACGAATAATTAATTAATTTGTTATAGGCATCATCTGCACGGTTATTTAAGTAAGAGTGGAATTTGTTGATATCATTTGTTAATGGTAATATAGTCGGTTTTTCTAACTGGTTTTCTTTAAGATTTTTTAAAGCTAAACTAGATATTTCGCTGCACCAATGTCCTTCAATTAATTTTTTGAACTCTTTTATTTCTTTCTTTTTTTCTTCTCTATCTTTCCATGATATGTTAGGAATATTTCTTTTTTCTATTACCAGTTTAAGCGCAACGTCACATACTACTTTTAAATTTTGTCCTAAGTGCAGGGCGAGAGAAGGAGCTTCAAAAGATTTTGTCTCAACATTAAATCGACTGATTTGCTTAGTGGCTAATATAAAAAATTTAAACATTTCTGGTTTCAAAGCATCGAACAAACCAAGAATATCATTTACCATTGACTTCAACGCTAACAATAGCCTAGCCATTTCTCTTATCTTGTTTGAAACTACCGTGCAAATTTGCTGCCTTTAATGTTTATTTAGTAGTGCTTCCCCATATAAGCAAATTAAAGAATCATTTTTTACTGTTGCACTTATTTCATCTGGGCGCATTATTCCAAAAACTTCGGTTTTGATGCGGGATGTTTTCAAGAAATCATGATTTTTTGATATTATAGAAGCCATATATGTTTGCGAGTTAGTTAAGCAATTTTTGCCTGGTTTAATTACGTCTGATGGTTTATTTTTGCATATTTTAACATGCTTATACAATAATGTTTTAGAATAATAACCCAAACAATATGTACAAACATAGTAATCAACTTTGGGATTTTTTGAGTTTCTTACGGGATTTAAAATATTTTTCTCTGTTTTTAAATGAAAGTAACCTTGTTTTCTCAATGACGACACTAAAGCCAAACGTTCTTTGCTTTTTGGCTTAAAAGATTCAAGTAATAACACGTCTTTATGGTCTTTGTGATGTCGTGTGAGATGTCTAGTAAAATGTGTTGGAACATCTTTAAAACAGATTGGACATATTGTGGGTCTTTCTGGAGCCGATGGTTTTTTTTTATAACATTCTGCAGTACTCAATGAATTATTGTCAAGCACTGGTTCAATATTCACGGTTTCTGTTTCTTCTGTTTCCGTTACAGCATTTGAAATAATATTTTGTGTTTCGACGTTTTCAAAGCATGATTCAGAATTTAAGTTCTCTTCAGTAACTACTGAAATACCTTTCGACTCTTGTTCTTTTATTGTCGGAACGTGATTACCGTCCCAAATAACGCCTTCAGATTCTTCATTCTCAGAACTTGACAAACTTTGAAAGTAACGTTTTAATTTATGAGGTAACTTACTTTCTGAAAGCACGTTAGACTAAAAACAAAAAAAAATGGATTACAACATTAATTAATGTACCATATACATAGTTCATGTCAAAGCCAAAATTAAAATTTTTAAACATGAAGTGTCCAAATTATGATTTGTGTAGTTGAACAAATTGTGTCAGTTAATTACAGTATTTAACATTACTAGCATGTAAAAAATGTAAAAATCCGTTACCTTGCGTGTATTGTTCAATATTTTATTTGTTTCTCACTTGTAAAGAACTATTATAAACTATTAAAAACTCGAGAAGGTCCAATATTTGTCATAGCCTTTACTGTGTTGTCTAGTTCTGTACTTTAGATTTTTCGATTTATCGTTTTCGATGTATTGAAATGAGACTGGCGCAAGCTATATTACTGAGGAAGCAGCAATTGTGAGTGAAAATTTACCTGAATCAATTTTGGCTGTCATTTCAACTTATAATAGTTTAAAATGTTTAAAATACATGGCTGTATGAGCGCGAGCAGAGCTGTAAAAATTTTACTGCCCAGCCAGTAACATTTTTTACAGGTTACAGCCAGTTAAGTGACATTTTCATGGGGAATACAGTGACTTGGTAAATTGATGTTTACAAGTGAGGAACAAATAAAAATTATTAACTTACTTGAACTGGTATAACATCGGAATTAGAAGAAATAGATCCAGTGGATGGAATATATTCAGAGCCTGAACTTTCAAAATCCACGAAACTTGATGTCTCTCCTAAACTGGCATCGTCATTACTGTCATCGGCAGAACTCGCAAATTCTATTTCTCTTGGATTAACATCTATTACCGACGCTCCGAGATCGTCAGAAAAATGATGAGCTAAAAATTTTTATTAACAATAACAAACGCAACAAAATGCTCGAACTATAACATGTCTAAAATTGAACAAACTTAATATCTCTAAAGTACCAGAATTTTTTATAGTAATTTTTGAACTACCTGAAAGTTTTACCCACAGCAGAAATTCAAATTCGTCAGTTGTGGTTAATTGTACAGAAAATGAAAGTGGGTAGGTACTTGTAAACAAACTATATTGAAAGCATCACTATTTTCGTTGGTACTTCCCTTCTCAAAAACAATTGATGATAAATAAACTGCTGTATGTACCTACATACACATGTAGTCAAAGGTCATGAAAGCCTTGGTATTTTTAAATGGAATTAGATAAAGAATTTTAAAGTTTCTCTAGTGAATTATGCTACTTTAATTTGTTTATATTACAAAAAAATAGGTTATGTTGTCAATTTCATTGCATTATGTAAAAAATACATACAAAGTTCAATAATAATAGATCCATAATTCTTCTTACCTTGTTTGTTGTGTTTAGCTAAATTGATTAAAAATTTTGTTCGATCCATTTTTACACATCACTAAACAACTTCGTGTCTCGCATAGGTGTCTCGATAACTTCGTCTTCTGACAAAACACGATGAAACACGTACGAAAATCTGACAACATTGCTGGGCTTTGTAAAATGCGTGAACTTTATAAACTACACACATTCGGGCTTGGTATGTTGGCGCAACTTCCATGGCTTTGTATAAACTGTTGAATATCATTTTTGGTGCATGTTTATAAAAATTACCCCTCTCCGTGTGCATCTACTATTTCATGAATTTTAAAACTATATATTCAACTTTTATCGTTGAGAACTGATTGTAAAGCCCGGGCTTCTGAGCGCCTGTAGTATGTAGCGGGCCTAGTATTGGTAGCTGAGTACGTATATATATATATATATATATATATATATATATATATATATGTCACTTGAGCAAAGTGCCATTTCCTCCCTCGGATTCTTAAGGCCCTCCGCTACGCGTCGGGCCTCAACCTGAATCCGTGGGAGGAAATGTTTCACTTTGCTCCCTTGATATAAATAACTATAAAACATCTACGGTTTCACTTAAATGAGGATTTCAAGTTCGATTTGCGAAATGGCAAGTGCCGTTGCTATGGTAATTTCGATGACAGTTGTTGCGATTCGCGATATAATTCGTCCTCGCGACTGCTGTCATCGCATCTTCCATGGCAACGGGGCTTGCGAAATTGTAAATCCAAATTGAAATTGGCCCGTAAGTTTATAAGGCAGTTTTGTGTAAGAGCCAATAGCGATTCCATTGAGAAGAAGCCCTAATGGTTGTATATATTATTAGGTTTGTTGTTCGCTACCCTGCCATGAGACGCAGGGTATGGATTACTATACAGTACGAATGGGTTTTCCTAACCTTCTGGGTAAAATGGTCGCCAACTCCACCCCCTAAAACTTATTTGTTAATCTTAAGACGTATTTTATAATCTTCCCCTCCTGCCAAATGAAGCGTCTCGCTATTGGACCTGCACCGGAGTCTTCCGTGAACGGCCTGGGTGACGTACGGGAGCTACAGAGGCAGGGGGCGCTTCTTCGGACCCGTAAAACTTGCTGATGGCACAGACTATGGCGAGGGCCTCACCTTCCGTCGTGGTGTAATTTCTCTGCGCGGTGGTGAGAAGGCGGCTCGAGTACTCCACCGGGAGTTCTTCGCTCTCCTCTCCCTGGAGTAGAGCAGTTCCGATAGCTAAGAAGCTGGCATCGGTCCTTAGCGTAAATAGCTTTGACGGGTCGGGCTGTCGAAGCACGGGAGCAGTCGCGAGACAGTTCTTGAGTGTGGTGCATTCTTTTTTTAGCAGGTTGCTCAACGGGCGGGATACGTCGGCGAAGTTGGGGCTGAACCGCCGGAACCACGAACACGTTTGTAGAAAGGAGTGGGCATGTTTCAAGTTCGTTGGTGTTAGCATCACCGTAATGGCCTGTACTTTGCCGGGATACGGGACGATGACAGCGACTGAGACCAAGTGCCCTACATACCGTACTTCTGGGCAGCCGAAGTAACATTTTTCTCATTTCTTGCGTAGTTTGTACCGTCGGAGTTTCTGGAACACGCGTTCCAATTGCGTCAGGTCACCCAGGTAGACGAACAGGTTCACACCCTCCAGGCCAGTCTTACACCGGTCGATGAGCCTCTGGAAGGTAGCAGGGGCATTTCGGAGTCCGAACGGTATCCTTGTGAACCGCTAGAGGCCGAAGGGGCAGATAAACGCCGTCTTGTCCCTATCCTCTTCCCTGACGTTCACTTGCCTGCAGGCCCATGGTGCTGAAACAATTCTGCCAGTGGGCATCCAGGGAAGCGGGTATGCGTCGGAAGTCGTGACAGCGTTGAGTTTCCTGTAATCAACGCACAGCGAGTTTTTGGAATTAATACGGCGGGAGTGGCCCATAGACTGTCGCATTCTTCGATAATTCCCTTCTCGAGCAGTACTCAGTGCCACATCGCGGGCAGCTAAAATCTCTTTTTGGAGCATTCTTGCTGTGCAGTGTTGCGACCTGAGTACTGTTAAGCGCAAAAATCGGTCGTCTCGTTGTAATGTTTTCCGTTTACGCCCTTGTCCTAGTCTTCTATTCATGCTTCCAGTAGTAGGGTAAATGTGTACAAGAGTGCGAATATGTATAAGAGTACGCACTCATGATTTCTGCTTATTACTGCCATCTGGGTAAGATGAAGTTATACCATTCAGAATTTAATG